AATTATAACAATTATTTTTAAAATATTATATAAAATTCTCAATTTCAACAAAATTATTGTAGACATCACAAAAGTTTACAGCGCCTGATAACCATAATGTGTTCCAAACATGTTACATCAACCTAATCACCTAAAATAAAAGTCAAACAACTATCCTATCATCATTTAATAATAGACTTTGATTAAAGAAAAATAAATAAAGCTAAGAACAAATAAAATTGAATTTTAAGAAGAAGAGATCAAGTTAGTTGCAGAAATATTTGAAAACAGAACAAATTTATAAAAAAATAATAACAAAGAATGTAGTGATGAAAAAATTACATATAAATATTACATAATCAAACCAGTGTATGATATGACAATTCACCAAATCCCTATATGATCAACTATATCCGATGAAAAAATTAACAAACGAAAAAAAACAAACTGTTTAACAATTAAAGCTATGATTTAAAAATTTTAGGAAAAAACGTGTTAAAGCCAATAATTTTAGAAGCGTTGACCGCATCAGTGTTTCACTTAATAACAGTGACAGTATTTTATATCTCTTAAAAAAAGTGTGTATACTGTATAAATTATTAAAAGAAATAAAAAAAATAAGAAATAAAAGAAAAAAGGAAATTGCATTGTTCCAGGAGTGTACGGTGCAGTATATATAATAGGCAGCGCCATTTTAAAGGCAGCCGTACTTGGAAAACCTAAAACCATTAAGTTTGATTCGTTTTGCTTGGATGTGGTCAGCAGAAACAATTAATAGCGTAATAGTAATATTAATAGAACATTAATTTCCGAGTTAATTGGCTAGGGTGCTCCTGCATCTACCTGTCACACCACATTAACACAAACATACTACTAAAATCCTTACCAGAAAAGGTATCTGGTTTAACAGTTTGATGATAGAAGGTTTGATAAGAGAGAGAGAGAGAGATATTGGTGATTATAGAAACGTATGAAGAAATGAAGAAATGTGTGAAGACTGGAGCGTTGACTGTGTCGGCAATCCCTCACGAGTTTTGTGATGATGGAAAAATGAAGGTCCACTTGCCATGCCACGATGCCGCAACACAAACACAAACACAAACAGGATAAGGCATTCGCATTTACGGCTTTCGCGTGGGGCTGTCGAGTTTGATTTCTACACAATGTGCGTGTTTCATAACTTAGAAAGAAAATGGGAGCAGAAAAACTATGCAAACAAAACGCCACAAACTTTCAATTCTCTTCTCTGCATTAAAGAAACTATACAATGCAATGTTTCTCACTTTTTTTTGGGAGTGGGGGACAACCTTTCAATATTATCACGCGTACTCCTTTAACCATCTCAGAGGGTTTCCCTCAATTTCCATTACTTCATTCTCGCTAGGGGGCTCTTTCTAACTCTCACATAGGGACCAATATTTTACCATACTTTTTACTTTCTTTTCATCTTCTATTATTCCAACAAGTTTTAACCAGTATCAGTTAAGCTGGTAATGTAAATATGATTATACAATTTGAAAAAAATTAAAACAATTATGCAATTTGATAATTAATGTTCGTGGTAAAGACTCTGACGATATTAATATCTCCGTGTGTGATACTTGAGAATAGTTTACTTTTTATTGGAGGATTAATGTGAAGGGTATTAGTCAACCTTAATGATGTGGATTCCGTTGTACATGAAAAAAATATATAAAAAGCTCGTATGGCTCGAAAAACAATGTAATTTTGTACAACAAAATGTTTATATTTATTATTTTTGTGCGTGATCCCGTGGTATTTAAAAACATTTTACTCTCGATTGATCAAAATTCGTGTGAACCAGTATTAGTAAATTAAGTGACAAAGGTATTTCTCGATTATGATATAGTTTTAGAATTGAGGTACTCTATTCACGTAGCATTAATGCAACTAAAATATCACATCTACACTTATATATATATAATAGGTGAATTCTTTTTTTTCCTACATTTGTTTTTTATATTTTATTCTTTAAATAAATATTTTTAAATTAAAAAATATTTTGTGAATTTTACTTTTTAAATAACTGTCAAAACTGTCTATAAAATAAAATAAAAGCATTAATATTATATTTTTTGATTTCATAATAATAAAAATAATAATTTTGTTATTTTTTTATTATCATAAAGATAACACCGCCTAAATGTGTTTTTTTACTCGTTGTTATTACGACATTTAAATTATTCTTAATAATATCAAAGAAGTATTTTTACCAATAAATACAGTGAATCTATATAATAAACAAGAAATATTTATATGAACATAATGCCTAAACATTAGGATAAGAGGGATAATGAGAAAAACAGAAAAAACATATGAAGTACTCATATGTCTCCATGTATATTGACTATAACAATATTTAAGAAAAGAAATAGAAATAATATTGTACTAACTAACTGTATTTGTGATTTATAAGATATATGATATTCTAAATTTTTATTGTACTAACTAACTGTATTGTCCTCTCATCTGCTTCATAAAGACAACTGTTTATCTTTCTTTGTAATAATGGGAAATATAATTTATTTATTTATTTATCTTTTTAAGGAAAAATTAAATATGAAAATTTATAGTATAAAATATTTGGTCGGAATCTATTTTTAACAGCCACAGACACGAACGAAGTCGGTATTTTAAGTTTTAAGTATTAAATAAATATAGAAATAGCAAGAAATAGAAAATTTGATGAGTAATTTTATTCGATTTAAAGCGCTAAAACTGGTTAATTCCCTGTTACAAAAACCAAGTAAAAAGTGTACCGTTGACCAAACTCAACCAAACATCTTATTCAATTACAGTGAATAGTAGTATAACTTTACATTGACTTTAGTTCCTCCGGAAGGGGTTATTATTCAGTAAAGTAGACCTTCAGTACTTTGGAGAAAAAGAAATTAAAATGATTATACGTTGAGTAGACCTTGGAGTTTTATCAATAATTAAATATAAATATTTTTAATTGAGGAAAGAGCTGAGTGATGAAAAATAGAAAAAAAGAAAATGATATCTGTGAAATTGTGATGAAAGGGATTAAAAAATGGTTTAATTATGAACAGTGGATGAGAGTGATTGGAAGCGGATTGTACAAGGGGAGTTTAATGATAACAGATCTCAACTGTCAAATGTATGTATGTACATTATATTGAAGATTGTTTTGGATAAGATGGTGGTACTTAGGGTTAAGGTTAATTCCGGAAAAAACGATGATGGAGATTAATTGGAAGGGATGGTTTAAAAATGTAAAGAGAGTGAGTGAGGGTGGTGGTGGTGGTGCAGGAAGAGGGACCACGGGGACAAGAGAATCTGGGAAACGTGGCAGAATCACATGGCCATGGCCTCTCCCCTTTCATATATCACTGACCACACCACCTGTCACTGCCCCTTCTCCCCCCTCCCCTCCCCCTTTCCTTTCCATCTTTCTCTTCCCAATTATCACATTTTCATTTTTCATTATTAATTTCTCCATATGCATTATTATTATTATTATTATTATTATTATTATTATTATCATTTTTTTTAACAACTGTTTCAACCGAGTTTTGAGCTCATGTAAAACCACTAAGCCAAAGAAAATCAAAAAGAGAAAGCCGTTCCAGTTCGTGTTCGTCTCCTAACGTCACCGTCGGAATGATGAGGACGCGCCCTTTTCATAGTTTAGTCAAACGGGACCGCAGCAACGCCGTTTCATCCAGAAGGACCTTCTTCACATTAATATATGCATGAATTTTGACCAGTTTTTTATGCCTTTTTCTTCCACTTTTTTAACTCTATATTACATATTTTCGCCAAAGTATGTAAAACTATAACGATTTGTGAATTTAATTAAAAAAAAAAAAAGGCCTATGATTAAAATGATTTTGTTAAGATTTTAGCTTACAAAAAAAGGAAGATGATATCACTGTTACAAGGGACTTGCTTAGCTGGCATCCCGTTTCTCTCGGCAGAGGGAGAAAGAGAGAGAAGAAGAAGTAGGAGTAATGCTTTGTTTTTGGACGGTGGGTCCCACGTTGGATGGTCCTAAAATCGATGTTGACGTCTGAATCCCCGTCCTCGTTGATCTTCTCTCAGCACAGACCCTCTTTCAGTGGGCCCGAGATGCAACTCATCTGTTCTCACCTTCATCGTCGCTCACGTGTGCCGTGGAAACACGCGCCTACGGAAACTGGGCACGTGGCCCAGTGTGGTCTCTGGTTCAGTGTTGTTTGGCGTGGAACCGTGGCGCGTGGAGACCAAAGTTGACCTGTCCCCTTGATCTCTCCTTCATGTGCGTCGTGAGAAGTTATTCCCAACTGGAACATACGGAAGCCGACCACACATACTTCCCATAGGCCACTCCACACACAAATACCACCCTTGCTTTTTCCTCTTTTTTTATTTAGTTTTTATTATTTAAATACGAGAGTGGAGGGTTGAAATAAAAAGAAGCAGTTCCTATTCTTGCATTATTTGATCTTAAGAAGATATTTATATATGGCAATATATGCAGGGATTTCAGAATTATGATTCGTCAAATTTGGTAGGAGGGTTTTGATAGATATATTCAGTTTGGAAAATAAGAGAGGAGGAAGTGTGAGTAAAGAGAAAAAAACTTTATTAAAGTAAAGGAGGTATGATACTAAAATAGAAAGGCTAGGTGAAGGAAGAGGATAGTTTAGGATGGGTGAATAAATGCTAAAGGTGGAATAATGTCATTAGATTTATGAAAGTAAAAAAATGGTGGATTAGTATGTGATAGATGATGAGAAGATGGAATGATTTGGGTAAATAGTTTGATCCGTGAGTTATTACTGGGCGCGTGAAGGAGGAAGGTAGAAAGGTGGAGCCCAGGATGATTCTCGGTCCCCAAGGCTCTCAATCGATGAAGCGTACGGGCACCTGATTTTCTAGTGTATGGTGTCTGGGGTATGCACGAGCTGTACACTATCATGGGCATCTTTCTTGGCATTGCGGTGCTGCCACGGCTCTTTGATGCCTTTTACCTATTTCTTTCCCTTCCTCTAAATACCAAAACGCACACACCCCCACTTCAACTAAATTAAACCACTCCCAAATATCACACTCACCATCTAAACTTTTTCTCAATATCAATCAAAATCAAAATCAAAAATAAAAAAACAATTCATTCCATTATTATGGCTTCCATTCTCCCTTATCTTTCCCAATTTCCACCCTTCTCTCTCTCCCTTTCCACCTCTCTCACTTCAAGCTCCTCAGCCCCCTTTTCCTATGACCCCATTCCATTTCCAAATCACCGATCCTAATTCCAATTCCAATTCCACTCCCACTCCCATCCCCATTCCTTCAATTTTTCCTATCACCCTTCCCCCCACTTCCTCATGAAGAGGAATTTCCGAGACAACTGCGCCGGAGGAGCTGTCAAGGGTGAGTGCTCCTCAATGCCCAACGGCAAGGCCAAGATGTGGGAGGAAGACCGCCACCAGCAGGGAGGAGGGATGGATGAGTTGCTCGCGGCGTTGGGCTACAAGGTTCGTGCTTCCGACATGGCAGACGTCGCACAGAAGCTTGAGCAGTTGGAGATGGTCATGGGGAGTGCCCAGGAAGAGGGAATTTCCCACCTCGCTTCCGACACCGTTCACTACGACCCTACGGATCTCCATTCATGGGTCCAGAGCATGTTGGCCGAACTCAACCCCGAACCCACCAACACCATCCTCGATCCCTCCTCCTTCTTGATCGAAAACCCCTCCCACTCTTCCTCCGTCCTCACCTCCAACTCACGCGTTTTCAACGACGACTCCGAATATGACCTCAGAGCCATTCCTGGAATAGCCGCATACCCTCCTCAAAACACCACAAACAACAACCCCACTGTTCACACCACCACTGCCACAACCACCACCACTGGCACCAAAGCCGTGGAAGAAATCGAAACGACCAGCAACAAGCGCCTCAAGGCTTCCCCAATTGAATCCTCAGAGTCCGCTTCGGAGCCCACGCGCCCTGTAGTCCTCGTTGACTCGCAGGAAGCCGGCGTGCGTTTGGTCCACACTCTCATGGCGTGCGCGGAGGCCGTCCAGCAGGAGAATCTGAAGCTGGCGGACGCACTGGTAAAGCACGTTGGCATACTGGCTTCGTCTCAAGCCGGCGCCATGAGGAAAGTGGCGTCGTACTTCGCCCAGGCCCTGGCGCGTCGAATCTACGGCATCTTCCCGGAGGAAACCCTCGATTCCTCCTTCTCCGACCTTCTCCACATGCACTTCTACGAGTCCTGCCCCTATCTGAAGTTCGCACACTTCACCGCCAACCAGGCCATTCTCGAGGCCTTCACCACCGCTGGGAGAGTCCACGTCATCGATTTCGGCCTCAAACAGGGGATGCAGTGGCCCGCCCTCATGCAGGCCCTCGCATTGCGCCCTGGCGGTCCCCCAACTTTCCGCCTAACCGGAATCGGGCCCCCGCAGCCCGACAACACTGACGCGCTGCAGCAAGTGGGCTGGAAGTTGGCCCAGTTAGCCCACACCATCGGCGTCCAGTTCGAATTCCGCGGATTCGTCTGCAGCAGCCTTGCAGATCTCGACCCAAACATGCTAGAGATCCGTCCCGGAGAAGCCGTGGCTGTCAACTCCGTCTTCGAGCTCCATCGCATGCTGGCCCGACCCGGATCCGTCGACAAGGTCATGGACACAGTGAAAAAGCTCAACCCCAAAATCGTAACCATCGTGGAGCAAGAAGCGAACCACAACGGACCGGTTTTCTTGGACCGGTTCACTGAAGCCTTGCATTACTACTCGAGTCTCTTTGACTCGCTGGAGGGTTCTTCCTCCTCCAACGGGTTGGGTTCGCCGAATCAGGATCTGTTGATGTCGGAGTTGTACCTTGGGAAACAGATATGCAACGTGGTGGCGTATGAAGGCGTGGAGCGCGTGGAGCGTCACGAGACTCTGAGTCAGTGGAGGGGAAGAATGGGTTCGGCCGGGTTCGACCCGGTTCATCTCGGGTCTAACGCGTTTAAGCAAGCTAGTATGTTGCTGGCTCTATTCGCAGGCGGTGATGGGTACAGAGTGGAGGAGAATAACGGCTGCCTCATGCTTGGTTGGCACACTAGGCCACTCATCGCCACCTCCGCTTGGAAGCTTCCCGCGCCCGAGTCCTAGTGGGTTCACTCGCTGGGTTACCCGAGTTAACCAGCTGGACTGTACACTGTAGATTAATTGGATCGTGGATGACGACGACGACGATGATCGCGGTAAATCGGTAAAAATGGTTTGATTGAACTTGTTGGAGTGGAGTGAGTCAGTGACCGAGTCAGGCAGCGAGGCAGAAGGAGGATAAATAAAGTGAGAGGAAAAAAAAAGCTAAAAGAAAAGATAAAAAAAGAAAGACTGTAATTTGTAATTGTACTCCTAATTACCGTTTCTCTTTTAGTGTTTTGATTTTCCTTTCTCTATATTATTATTATTATATTATTATTATTATTACTATTATATAATTTGTTTAATTCTTCTTAAATTGGATGTGTTTTTCTTGGTTTTTAAATTTTTATGTTGCTATGTGTGAGATTAATTTATTATAATAGTAACTCGTTCAGTGAGTCCAGTGCTTTTTAGAGGAAGTGAATCTGGTAAGGAAATTTACTGTCTTAGCTTTTGTTGTTTGGGTTTTTAAAAAATATGTAATTTTATTTATGTCAACTTATTTTAACAACTTTTTTCTTCTCATTAATAAAATTCTTTCTAGTATTTGGATGTTTTTGTGATTTTAATTTCTTAAAATAAGTTTTATGAATGTGATTATTTTTGGTAATGAGAGATGAAACTGATGTTATTCTGAAAACGAAAGGGATGTGACGGACTATTCCTTGGAACATTTAATTTAGAAGAGAAATAATTTTTCTTTTGATTTTTCCTTGTTGAGCACATGATAAGATCATATGATTCAAAGATTTTCAGAAAAAACTTTCTGCCAACCAGAAAAGGAGAAGGGAATTGACATCCATTGAATCTGGAAACAAGGTTTTACTTAACTGGTGAGTCAAATGATTACCCAGATCAAATGCTTTCATTAAAAGTAACGGAGGTAATGTTAAATTATCACACTTTATTCATTTTTCCTTCTCAACTATCTCTTCCGTCAACTTGTTCATTTTTACTCCATTTCATACTTGTTATTATCCATTATCATGTTTCAAGATGAGGTTAAACTCTTAGATTGGTATTCATCCACACCACACAAGTCAAGACATATTTAGTCATATTTAATAACCATGTTAAACATGTGGATCGATACTAATGGAAACATATTTAGTACACAACATTCAACCTCCAATTATTACTTAACCATCACCTTCAAATCAGAGATCTGCCTAATATTGTCCCGATCAAATGTAATTTCTCTAGAAAGATGTTTCGTATGTAAAATGTTCGTATTTTTTATATACTTATCTTATATTTATTACAATGACTTCCATTTTCTCTGACGCCAGAAACTTGTGTCATTTATTTGAATTTTGTCCATTAAAAATATTTATCCATTTCATGTAATTAGAAGTGACTTAGTGGTCATACTAAGTTTTATGTTGTGTAGGATGTGTTGAAAATCTTCTTGTTTGTTTTTCAATAAGAACATGAAAACCTTCCACCTTCGTTCTGGTTTTCCCATTTCTTATGATAAACTCACGGCAATAGATTATTATGCATGCTATCATTCAACGAAAACAAATGTTGTTTAGAAAACTTTTATTCATACTTTTGTGAATGATAGAAAAATTGGGTAGAGATACGTTTTTAAATACAACTTTTTACACATGAAAAATCCATTTGCAAAGGTAACCAATTTCATATGAAAGTTTATTGTTCTTTTTCAGAGTATAATGTTTGTAAAATGGATTGCAACTTTCACCATATACATTGGTACATATTGTCAAAATCTATATAAAAATGTATAAAATTTTGAGAATGTCAAATGTTCTCAATGGACAGAGACTCTAGTGATCACTTATAAACTCTTTTATGGTACTCAGTTCAGTTCTCAGTCTCCAATGGTGAGTACCTGCAATAAATATTTTAATTCTTTATTAATTTTAAGTTAAATGGACTTTTTTTTATCCTAGTATTGTGATGATTTTATTTTAATTTTATCTCATTCTACTTTAAATACTCTCAATTTCGTTTAATTTTTTTATAAAAATTAGTATAATCAATTATTCCGTCAAATTGATGACAATGGTGTTACAACAATGACACAGTTTATCGGGAGCAATAAATGTAACTTTATCACCATAAAATTAATGAGAAGGATTTCATTAGTTCTTTTGAAAAAAAAAATCAAATTAAGAACATTTAAAATAGTTGACAAAATTAAAGAAAAATGATGATAATAACGAGATAAGAAGCCTAAGTAATCAAATATTAAAATTTATGTAGAAAAATAATAATAAAAATACTAAAGTAGTTCCTGATGTTGAAGTGGAAAATCAATTGGAAAAACTAATGTTAATTATGAATAAATTATTATAAAATTGAGTTTCGTAAAAGATAAAGAAAACTAACTAACAACCGATGAGTTAAATCGATCATCAACGCTATTCAAGAATAATCTCAATCAAATAGAAAGAAATGCTCGAAATAACAGTGGAAGATAATTGAAATTTGACATAAGGAAAAGATATTTTTGGATAGCTGTAAATAAATAATTTCTTGAATGTACCAGTTTGATTTATTCTGATTCTTGCTAGAGCCTAATATGATGTGTCGCTTTGATTCACAATTGCTTCGCTTTCTGTTTAGTTTATTCTTCATCATCTTATTATTATTTAAACAACATGTTTGAGTTTACCAAAAGAAAAAGAAACGATTAAAGTGTGGTTAGCATGTGGTACATGAACATCTATTTAATCATTGCTATGGTGCATGATTAACTTTTCGAAGATTGAGATCAACTTATGTAAAAGTAACTCGTTGAAAAAGAATTGCTGTTATTCGGTCTATAGATATTTTTTTTCTTTTAAAACTGTTTCCCATGGGAACCAACTTCTTAACTTTACAACATTAATATAATACTTTATTTTTCTCATCTTTCTCGTCTCTAAAGTTGTAAGATATATTACACATTAACTTCTCATTAAGAATTTGGAAAAAAAAAATCTAATTTTTATTATTATAAAATTTTAGATTAAAGTTCATGATAGTTTTTAAGTAATTTATTTTAAATTTCATTATTATTAAATCTTGCAAGTAAATTTTGTAGAAAGGAAAACCATGATTTATGATTATACATTTATGCATATAAACCATCCCAATATTTTGTGAAGATTTGGTCCCCATATTCTTTGTATTGGTTATCCCTTCTCAGATTCCTACCACCTCATTTTGCAAAAAGGTGTCAACGCTAGGTGGCGCAGGATCACATGCTAAACCACATCGTAGGGGCCATCCCATAATTAAGGGATATTTCGGAAAAATATATATATAAATAAATAAATATTTCTAGGATTATTCTTACAGAATTGTTCTTCCAACAATTTACAACTTTTTATTTCATTTCATTTCCTCATGCTAAATTATTACACTATGCATCTTCCATGCATAAGCACAGCCAAAAGATTTCCACTTTAATATAGCTTTATTTGTTCACTCAAATCACTATCAGCTTAATATGGTAGGTCACGATTGGGTTGAAGATGAAGTCTGGTTTTGGGTAACTCCAAGCTAAAACGCATATAATATAAATATCTCAAAAATCTATTTTCAATCTAAAATTATAGGATTTATTCTAATTATAAGTGCCTTGTTATGATCTAATTTAAGTTTTATTGGATCATCGCTTCTTTATAATTATTCACAATCATTACATATGACACATATATTAAATATCATTAACTATCATCTTAAAAAATTTAAACACATGTTACCAAAATTGGTTAGAGCTTTATGAGAAACAGTGCTCCATGACCTTCTAATCTTCCTATTAATTAAGATGTATGTGCTCTTTATAGTAATATAAGACTTAAGTTCTTAAATTTAATTATAATTTGAATGGATAACGTTATCTTACTCGAGAATGTAACCTAATTTGTATTATGCTCAAGATAGAGAAAGTTTTTTTTTTCCTTTTTCACGAAATAAGACTTCTTCTAAATATGTATATATTTAGTTAATAAAATTTCATCATTTAGACTATTTAAAAAGTATTTTAGTTTATATATAAGTTTATTTAAGTAAAATGTAAGCAATCATTTTATTGATATTTACGTAACATTTTTATAATATATATAGTGATCATATAACTTTTAGTACTAAAAGAGTTATCTCGCGTAATCAGTCAGATATATTCGACTAGTACAAAATCTATGGTCTCTTTAGATATTTATTATAGAATAATCGTAAAAGGTCATATAAGACATATAAAATCTTAGAAGAAATCATATGTGCAACTCGTATATAGAGTAACCATACTATTTGTTCCTTACATTAGTTATTTTACTTCTCATATCTTATTGTTTATATTGTGTTAAGTTTTTTCAAATTGACTTATTAGTCAATTAGCTGATTTAATAATAAATTTGGCTTACATAAAAACTTAACAAGGACGTAAGCTTTTATGCAAGGAAATCGTGCGTTGACATGATTTCATAAAAGTTCTGTTAAACCAAAATAAAAGTTTGAAATTTTAACAGTGAAGAACTTGATTTTTTTAAAAAAAAAATAATTTATACCTAGAAAATAGTTTGACCCAACAGAAGCCTAACCACAATTTGATTATGACAAACAAAGCATTGAGGGAGTGGCTGATAATATTTTAGAAGTATATATTATTATAATTAGTATCAATATAATAAAATCACAAGAAGGATCCATTTCATATTGCAAAATATATATTTGCTAGAATTGAAAGAAAGTGTAAGAAAAATTACCAAAGTGCAGGGCACACTATGATAGCGAACAGTAGGTACCATTCATTGCAAATTGACATCCTCAATTTACCTTTGTGTGAAAAAGGTACAGTCCGAGACAAAAGTTAAACATCGACGCTAATAATTTAATGTAACAAGCAATCGCAATTTGTTACAGTAATACAAAATTTTGCTTTTTAAACATTTGCCAAATTCACTCGCCATGAAAAACTTCAAAGTTTTGGCGACGCAACTGATGCATAATTAGTTGAAGTGGTGTATACCTAATTTCCTTGAATTTTGGGTTATGTTAATGAGATTTTAATACATATGAAAGTTGACGAGCGTGGGTTTATGACGTAACTACTTTTTTTGCGAGATAATTATTAGTATTATGCAGAACTAAGCTGATGGTGGTGGTTCAATGAAACGAGAGATTTGAACACCACTCCAAGATGTCGTTGTTGTAGCTTTTGTAAAAGTAAAAAAAAAAAAAATGTTTGGTTTATGAAAGATTGAAAGAACATACCACCTACACTCTCATAATTTGATTATGG